GGGGGGGCGCCCCACGCGCATGCGCCGCACCTCGAATCGACGACGACGGCGCCGTCGCGTGCCCCGCCGCGGCCCGCCCCGCCGCTAGCGCCTCCCGCGGCCGCCACCTCGACCAGGCACACACTTCAAAAATTACATTTTTGCTTTTGTTCATTGAATATTCTGTCACATTATATTTGAAAGAGACTGAATTTCATTGATCTACGTCGATTCTTAATTTATGTTTTTTATATGAAGGAAACCTTGCATGAAAGGGTGAGACGGGACTCTCAGCAGACTGTCAGTTCGCGGATTGCATTCTGCGATTTGGTCGCTATGTCACGACCTAGTAATCGCTGTTTTAAGAAGAGAAGGTTTAATTACCTTCAAGGTCGTTAGCAACCATAATGAACAATATAATAAATCAAAAACCACACAATATAATATATTTAAGAGTTTTCTTCTACAAATATAGGAACCTATTTGACCGTCACTCATTAATTTCTTGGTTATATGTTGCATTGAGGTCAATTAAAATAATTATAACATTTGATTACTTTGAACTATGATCAGTTTCGTAATAAATTTTAATAGAACTAATGTGTTCAAATAATCAACGAAACTGCTATCAACATAAGTCTATCACATTTCTCAGGACAAATAGTCGAATTTAAACGAAATTGTAGAGTATTGATTTGTTTACGAAGTGGATAAAACGTACGAATATATTCGTACCATAACATCTCATTAAAACACTCGTTTAGTTATCATGTTCGGTCTCACGTACTCGTTTGATAAGTATGGGTGTGGTGTGATATCTTTGGGATTTTTAAAATAATTAAAGATGTTGTCATTGCCAACAATATTATTTAATGCAATAGCAGCTTTCGATGGCTTAGCCATGATCATCAGTTGTCTGCTAGATGGAAGCCACAAAACGACTTATCAAACACTCGTTTGTTAAGACCACGCATGCATGCATCCTGCACTTACTGTCTGAGTATCATTATCGCAATTGCAGATGCACGTATCTTTAATTGTGGACCAGCATTTAGCTGAGTCCGATTTTTCTTCCCCGGAGTTCTTAGCCCCGGGAGTATGGAAGATGAAATGATGATGATAATGAGGGGTGAAAGGACCCCCATGCCCGAGGCGGGACCCTAGCCCGCGATCTTCTGGTCCGAAACCACTACGGCACTACTGCCTTAGCGAAAGAAGATATTTTTCTATAATTATTATTATAATAACAATTATTTTACGCCAGCCGTACAATCTCGTACCGATCGTTGGTAAGTTCCAACTCCTTCGACGTCATTTCATCCACATACTCATACATGCAAGTGCAGTAGCAGGTGGTGTTCTACAAAGGCTTTCGAATTAACACATAAGTCTTAAGTTGAAGATTCCTAAGTAATGCATGATAACAAAAGGCAAGTAAAAATACATGCAGGAATGAAGAGTTGTAATTTCTCATACCCCATCATGCTATAAATAAGTTTCATACGAAGAAACAGTAAGGAATTGACGAAAACTTAAGGCCTTTACGACAAGCGATTGTTTTTGCGCGAATAATCACACCCTCGTCAACGTTATCAGAAGCAAAATTAAAGTCGTATTGTTGTTTCTTACCCGTAATTGTAAGAATGGATTTTCTATCGCTGTAATATTAGTCTGTAAATTCATCTCACGCATTCATAACAATTGTACAGATGTAACGTTATGACAAGTCGAGAGGTGGAGCTGTGCCAGATCTTTTAAATGAAAGTGATTCATGGAAAACAAAAAAGAGAAGCAAAGGAAAATTCAAGCAACAGAAATGAGATATTTCAAAAAAGAAGATCATATGAGAAAAGAAGATATCCGGGGAAAATAGACATATGTGTATTACATATCAACGAAAGATGATGCAAGCATTATATTGAAATAAAAAATAAAAGAAGAGTTTCAGGATTGGATATGCAATAGCAATCAAAAGGAAGGAAGGGTGATCCAGGAAAACACATTGTTGAACTGAAAAATGAAGGCGGAAAAGCAATTAATACCTAATTCTAAGGAAGAAATGTTCCTTTTTCATTACATGAGTAATCTTGAGTCACCCTAGTGTGGTCAATCTTTTGTAAAATATACTTCCGATACTACATGTTTCACGAACGATCTTGGCCCGACAAGGATGCGTATGCTTGAGAATTTGTCAAAAAATATTTCACTCTCAAACGGAAATTAATACAGCTTTCAAAACGAAAATTAGTACGATAAGCAATATATCTGGTGGAAATGGATAAAACGTACAATTTAATTGAAAACTGATTTGAGGGAATAAATGTCTTTCGCCTGCTTGCAAAAGCGGTCTTTAGTAAACACTCCGTAAACTCTGCATATTTCATGACTATCAGGTTCTAATCACTATAGAGCGATGACCAATTTGCTTTTCCACGGGTAATAGATCACGAAAATTCCCTTCGGAGTTAATGACAAACTGTCACAGAAACTGCTCTCATATTTGTTTGCTCTGGGTATTGGCAGTTAATAGGTACTTAGCCCTTAGAGCCTGATAGTGGTAACGACTGATTGTCCTGAAAGTGATATTAATGATGTGATGGACGGCGTATATCCTTGTCTCCGAATCCCATCGCCGCCAGAACCGTACATTTAATCCCAAAACCGCCCTGTCATATCGTCCAGGCTGTTATTGCTGGGGGCTCCCAATGCAGATCGATCATGGACTTCCCGTAGCGAGGTAGGTGAAGTGGGACACATAACTTCTTTCAAAGTAAATCACACCAATTTACTTCACTGACAATCATTTAAATATTTCGTATCTCATGCTCTAGCAAACCCCTCACAACAATGCAGTGTATTATTTTTTAATGTTGCAGATCAACGAGATCATACATATGTTTATTGTATAATAAAAATAATTAAAACTAAAAGTATTTTCCGACTTGAATACTTCTGCTTCTTGTCGGATCTCCAAATCCTTCGTTTCAAATTAACTTCAAGATTAAAATAATTACTCTAACAACAAATTTAAAAATTTTGAGAATAGAGATGAGACTATAATTTTTATCTGTTTCATTCATTTGCAAGAAATTCTCATAGCATTCAATCAATAAAAAGTATTTTTCTGCAGATGTTTACAAATGAAAGGTTTTACCTACCGCTACGTACGCGTGAAGTTAGTCTTTTCTTTAGACATCTGAAAACGGGGTCAATCCTTTTTCCACGGGAATACCACGACTGTGTAATATTCGTTTTTCTGCTACTGCATAAAAAAGGCAACTTCTGTGCAACGCTAGCCGTACGTAAAGTTTGTTAATTTTTAATAACCATTAAAAAATATTGCCAAAACAACTATCTTGTTACCGTCAATTTTTTTGCATGATTTTAGAATACTTCTCTATTCATGGCTCTATGAAATGCATTTCTATATTGTCCGGGGTCTCAGGTTTCTTTTTCCAATACAAGTTTACAAAACCTTTTGCATTATATTTTTATGCAGTTGTAGAAAAAACGTGCATATGTCGTGCGTAAAGTTTTCGTTTCTTTCACGGTCGAGATGGAGATTTCTGCCGAGAGCGCAGGTCTCTGGACCGCGAAGAGTCGCAGGCCACGTCTATTTTCTACGTCTAGAAACAGTAAGTAGGTTCCATCAGAAGGAAGGCAATAAAATACATACTAGCCAAAACCACTATATTTAATTATTATTAACCTCTCCCTATTAAGTATAAACACATAATTAACTACTGACATGTATTATGATGAAACTTCCCACAGAACATTCACCAATTGAAACTCGTAAACACAACTGACAAAACAAGTATTAAGGAATTCATTGTTCTATTACTCGTAGTGAAAAAGAACACTTATGATGGAATTAACGAAATTTTTAATTTAATGAGCTGAGAAAACATTTTTATTGGTCATAAATATTCCCTCAAATATACACCATTTTTGAATTTACTGTATTTAAAAATATACATTCGAACATTTAGAGTGGAAATTAGTTAGTGAAGTGTTCGAAGTTTCAAGCAATTTCTGTGGAGTGACAATTACGCTAGTTTCCATTTTGAATTCAATAATAATTACGAAGGTCTAGTTACAGAATAGAAACTCATTAGCACACCAACGCTTCGTTTTCGTACGTTGCGGCACCATGGCCTCCTGCTATACTGTCGTTAACAAAGATTGGGCTTCCTTTTAATAAAACAAAGAGCAGAGATGAAAAAATAAGAATTAGTAATAAGACGGATCGTGGAAAAACTAAATATTAAATGCAAGAAATAATCGTTTTTTGCACAACCTTGATCGTTTTTCCGCCTATGTGTCTCGTCAAAAAGAATCCTTTCACATTCTTAGAACAAATACAACTATTTTGCCCAAAAACTGTGAACGAAGGTGGTGCCTTCCTTTTCTGTGAAAAAAAGAGATTAAACAGATAATAACTCGTTACAAAAGCATTTTATACGACCGTAGAAAAAATTGTTGATATTCAGTCGCTTAATATAAAAAACTATTTTATTTATTTTTATCATTTACTCTTTCGCAATCTTGACATTAATGAGATGAAGTCAGCTATTTTTGATTCTGTAATTATAGAGTGCCACATTCGCGTTTAAGCAGATTTCTTAATTTTTATATATGGTTTGGAAATTCATTTTTCTTCTGAAAATGAACATTTCATGGTCAAGAAATAAAATTAAAATAGAGATTTTTTTTTCGAACAAATTGTTTGTATAATTCATCAAATTATGAGAGTATATTCCAAATTGATAATTGATATGATTTCCTGCTCCCGTTGTTATTTATAAAACAGTTTATATTTACAAATTTTATTACTTTTCGTACGCTTAGCGCAAAAGTTGCATTTTACGGAATGTTTAGCGAAAAAAAGTTCGCCTAAATAAATGTCTCAACTTTTAGACATTTAATTTCATTCATACAGTTAATACATTTTTATAAAGTTTATTATAAAATATAAATAAATATTTATCTGTGGTATTAATTTGAATGTATTTTTAATTTCTTATCTCTGTTCTTCTACGGTACAACAAACTTTTATGCTGGAAAACCATAACAAATAATTGAAATATTGTTAGACTCACACAAGTTATAATTAAAATGTCTTTGGTTATTACTATCAACAATATTAATGCCAACAATGATACTTCTTTCCATATAATTACAATTTCTAGAAAATCGACATTTAAAAATTTTCATTAATCTACAACAAAAAATATTTACAGGTCAGAAGGAAGAAATTAATTCAGCTTGGATTAAAAGTGATTTTTTACCACCGACTACATTATTCCAACAGAGAGGGTAATGCGAATAATATTGAATATGTGTGTGCTAATACCTGATAGTATGAGAAGAAAATAAAAATTGATCGAATGCCGTAATCAGTAATAATAGGGTTGTCACACGAAAACCTCACGCAAGTTCTAGTTTGTGTCAACGACATGGCCCGCGGAAACACAATTTGCAACCTAGAGATTCGGCATCGATGCTATAAATCACGTCACACCCTAGGTGCAGAGTCCTGTGGCTGGTTAAGAGTCTGGAAGAAACGCTTCTCTGGTCTTTGACGAATCGGAGCTGCCAACACTGCCGCATGAGAAGCTAACGCCCCAGGCAGGGAAACAACAATTCGAACTGTGATAATGAGATGTAGCCGAAGTGCTGAGTAAAACGAAAAGAATAAGACAAAATAAAAATAAAAATTAAATGCTTGTAATAAAATGGCACAGAAGAAATAAGACAGCACCAAAAACAAATAAAAGTAGATTTGTAGAAGCAGTAGTGATCAAAACACGAAGGAAAGGGGCACGTAGGAAATCATAAGAAGTAAAGAAAACAAAAATGATTTTGGTTGAATAGAGTGGGGAAAAAGGCCACCGATAAGAAATTGAAATGAACAATGGAGAACAACATAAACACAGAGGAAGCAGAAGACAAAATGACTAACATATTAATTTGGAGAATTTTAAAACGATTCAACTTAGAGCATTGAAGATAAAGACATGTGGTGTAAGATAAGACACTAATATTCATCTCAAGCTGTTTAGCATTGAAGGCATATATTTAGCATAAGAAGAAAAATGAAATGGAGAAGTTAATATGTATGAATAAGGAAAAGAAGAGAGGTAAAAGAATTCACATAAGGCAATGAAAGAAGAGGCAGACCAAGAAACGGAGTAACAAGGGAAAGTAAGAGGAAAAGGGGACGAAATTGAAAAATGCAACAATAAACTAACAAGTAAAGACGTTGAAACAGAAACAATGAAATCTTAGAAGCACATGAACCAGAACAAGCAATGTGCAAACACACACACACACACACACACAGTGGGGCGCCTAAATGTGGGCGTGAGGCCCTCCCGAAACACACAGGTAGCGCGTAGCATCGTCGGCGTCGCGTGCGGCCCACGCGATCGCGCGCTCTATTCCTGGCGCCGCGCCCCGCGCCGCCAGCCAGCTCTCCGCCTCTGCGGGAGGCAGCGCTGCGGGATTGGGCTGACAACAAGTTCTCTTTGCCGTTGCCCAGCACATGCAGATGACGTTTACACACATATTCTACAAAATCAAACGCACTCATATACTGACCTATAAACACATAAACTCACATACTACATACATGCTTACCTAAATACATAGATCTATGAACCCACGCACACACAAGCCTGCACCTATTCACACAAAAGCATATTTAAAAATATAATAGAAAAATGAAATCCTAAACGTCCTACATATATTGACCTAACCCGCACCACCATATATAATAATATACAATACTTATGATTCTTAAAGTTTTAACATGTGAAACTTAATAAATAACATACCTCAATAAATAAATCAATAAATACCAACGAATGTCAGAAAAAGACGTTTTAGATTAGCAAAACAAAGAAGGAGAAATGAATTCACTTCACTTCACTACACCGCACCGTATATCACTTTATCTAAACTGCTCAATACTTTTTAATTGTAGGTTGTCCAAGGAAGTATGAAGGAAAAGAAAGAAGAAACGTTGCTACAGAAAACGAAAGAAGAAGATAATCGTATAACCAACGCATGCAAACACGACTGCTCTGAACGGTTATAAAGGACTTAAATGCGCCTAAAATACTCTGGAGAAAACGTTGACCTGGGGATCCTAGGGTTTGAAGCCCGACGGTGGAAGATTTCCCGCAATAAGACCCTCTGGAATGGCAACGACCCCGCAGACAAAATCGAAGAAAATGAGTTAGTGTGACAAGGTTCTATCCGACTTCTGCTACGAGTACAACAAACTCGTGCTGCACTCTGTGAACACATGGCTGCTGTAAAAATCATTTCGGAAGAAGAGAGGACTAAATAATGAGTTAGTGAAACTTTAACATCAATAGACCCGACGCGACTGTCATGCTGGCCGGAAACTCGACATTCAAAAAGATGAAATACCTTCTTAGAGGAGTCAAATCCAACCCCGGTTCGGAGGAGAATTCTCGCGGCTGACTGCGCTGGTTTGTAGGGTTGCATTTCGGTGGGGTGCAGTGCTGCGTGGAGGTGGACGTAGAGGAGAGGAAATCCACGGAACCCGAGTGTAGGTCGGCGCCAGACCTCACGTTCCAATGGAGAAGGAATTTCGCGATCTCGCATGCACTTACGAGACTAATGACCCACATAGTTGATGCGCCCGCCATTAATAAACAGACATTCACTATACACGAATCGAATATGAGGGTTGGTGCCAGTTTTAAGAAGTTTTATTTTCCAAGAGTTTGGTAGAAGGCAAATTGAAAGCGCTAGTACTTTTGGAAATCGAAACGCTGTAACGCTTATTACAATCGTGCCACCCCTGAAACTATGGACGACTTTTAGCTTTCAAAACCAACAAAGGTTTTCGTGTCTTTGGTGGAGGAAGATTTGTGTTTTTTATTGCGTAACGTGCAAAATGATACCTTAGGACATTCGGTTGAGATTCTAGACACCTTTCCACTCCGCAGCACGTGTTGTGAGAAGCTGACAAAGTTGGTTCCCAGAATGAAATTATTTTCACTTTTAAAACATTAGAATTGCGGCATATTCGAATAGGTTAAACTAGTTTCTTAAGAATTACATTCGTTTGTTATTCCCCCACCAGACACAAGCTATCGCGGAGAACCGGCACTACTTGCGTCTACATCGCGAATCTGTGACGTTTCTTGAACGTCCTGATCAATGGGTTGATGCACATGCGACCGGTCGTGGGTCATGAGAATGCTAGATGTAGTCAGTAGGCTTCTGCTTCGGTTGATTGAAACGTGTCGCCGGCTGCGCCAACTACCGCGAATCGCCTCCGTTGAACAGCGAGGTCCGGCGCGGACCAACACGTCGGCTTGCTGGATTTTCTTCAACCAGCAGGGCGCCGCCCCAGCCGGTACAAGCTCAAAGCTTGCGGTTAGTCTCCTGACATGTATATTAGTGTAGTGCGTGTCCGTGTGTGTTTAAGTAAGAGGTGAGGATAGGACGAAAAGAGGAAGGAAATATCGCGCCCGGTACGTGGCCCGCTTATTGGGGTATTGCTCCGATATTCGCTTGGTATTGATCGGAGAAACAAAAGAAACCTACCGATCAGTGCAGCCAACCGCTATAATTCTCCTCCAAACCGGGACTGAATTCGGCCTATCTATATAGATAGTGACGAAAATGCTGCTCGAACCCTTTGAGTTAAATCAGTTAATGTCCTGAGCCACCTCAGCTGTTGGTACTGCTTCATCTTCCGTCTTGGCCTGATTAGAGGAAACCACTGTAACGCGCGATCAGGGCAGTCGGAAAGGTTCATCCAGGCACAAGATGGATTGGGTCTGGATACGTGCTTGATTAGGTCGCGTCAAAAATCCTCCCGGCGTCGGGACTCGAGTATTTTATTACGCTTTTATTTCTACTTCATACATTTTACTGTAAACATGTGGGGTGCAAACGTTGGGTGAAGATGAGAATGAATATTTAATTGTAGTGAAATGCATTAGCAGTAGAGTTTACAGTGTTAATACTTTCATTGTTTGTCTTCAATATACATTATTTATGGTTCATAATACTAAATAACAAAGTATACAATTTTTTTTCTATCTGTAGGCTTAACAGCTTTGTTGTGTAGACTTTTTTGGTCATTTATTATTTTTATTTTATATTTTATTATTTAATTTCAGCCTGAAGATAGAAATAATCATATCCGAAACGTTGCTACTATGTATTACATATTTTAATACATTGTAATGATATTGTATTTGTATTTAAAACAGTTAACCAAAAACAGTTTTGTCTTTAAAATAAAAAGCCAAATACAGCCTGACAAAGTAATTAACAAAGTATTTGAAAGAGTGAAAATTCAAAACAAACATTTTATAACCTCTTTTATTTTTATAGAAAGTAATATTACGTAATATTTTACATACCGTCATTATTAACATACTTTTTATACGCAAGCAATAATTGTCCCTTTGTAATACACTGGTCAACGAACAATAAAACAACACATTCAATAACAATGACTCGCGGTCACTTATATTTTGTATTTCTACAAAATACAAAAGACAAAGCAGTGTGCGGAGAATAACACTCTCAAGGACATTATTATCGTAAATTCTCTATCAAAGTATTTTAATGCAAAATCTTGGCGTATAGAACGATGCATACTATAATGGTAGTATTTCATTTGTTTTTCTAATGAATTCTCAATACTATTTTGGAATAAGTGAAATGTGAATTGCATTTTAGCTAATGAGAACATTGGTAGTAAAGTCAGTGATTCCAGAGAGCAACATACACGCGTAGTCTTGACATTTGCTCTCAAAAGTATGGGATTCAGACAAATAAATCAGAACAAATTTCTCAAGAAAGAAAACGGAAACCACAAATTTTAAGCGCAACATTACCCCTACGCTACCAGCTATGTCAAGATACGATGAAATCTGAATATATGCCAGAAGGAAATAAATTGTCTTTTTGGCTCCAACTTCATCTCTTGTCTTTGACGCAACATTAATATCTTATGCATAGAACAACTTCCAAGCAATCTGAAAACCTGAAAGAAGAAAAAAATATCGATCGAAAGTTTGAATCTTCTCCCTCATCCATTAAGAAACACATTTTCAATTTGCCTCTACTTTCATACAACTTTTTTTCAAAAGCCTCTGAAGTTTAAACAAAGCATTTTGCGTTTCAACGATGCTTTCATGCATCTATTAGGCTCTTAGGCTCCATCTCGTCTTATTTCTGCTACACAATACCCATTCGTTCTTTTTCTCCGATTCTTCATCGGACACAAATGGAAGGTAATTGGCACGGCGCCGTCTGCGTATGAGGCGGCCCAGCTCGTTGCCGGTAGGTGGGACTGGGCGAGAGCGGGCACACTGTGCGGAAAAGGTATTGTTAGCGGGCAAAATACTGTGGCTTTTTATTATCATTAAATTACATCACTTAATTTATTACCCATTCAAAATTTTGGTGAGAAAATGTAAAAAGACAGACAACACTAAAGGAATGTTTTTCACGTAGTTGGGATGTTCGATCTCCGAAGCTCATTATCACGCTGAAGACGGACAACATTTTCCAAGAGAACCTTCAATTAACAAATGCAACGTAATTGCCGGCAGACGCTCCTATTTAATAACAAGGAAATAATTTACGTAAATATTTGATTTGAGCTCCTTATACGGATATTAGCTGGACAATAGGAAGGCCATAAAGAGAAGAGAAAAGGTGAACTTAGAGAACAATATTCAAAATGAACTAGTCAAAAAATACTCATTATTCTTAAAAAAAACAATTTAAGTGAATGCGGTTCTGATTACAAGACTTCAATACATACAAACGAAGCTCTGTTTCCAACTTAATAATTTTTATCGGCGCTCACTAATTTTGAACATAAACTACTGATGCTCACTCTTGGTATTCAAAATTACACAATACCCAACTTCTAACAACTCTCTACAAGTTATACATCAATAACTACGGTCCTTTCCGTAAACCATGGCCGACATCCAGCGCAGCGAACGAAAATCCCAAATTCAACGATCTATCGTTTTGCATTAACAGCAAAACACTTTCAACTCCCTTACTCTCGAAACTTAAAAGTTGTAAATATATATATATATATATATATATATATATATATATATATATACATATATATATTAGCGCGGCCGTGCGAGAAAGAAAGCATGTTAAATCCTTCGATTTCTGTATTACGGGAAAAAGGTGTAAAAGAAACGTGTTTATTTCTTCAAAAAATGTATAAAGGTAACTTCCAAAATTACTCAGAATATTATTTAGTAAAAATAAATGCCAAACAGTATTGTATGAAAGTTATAAAGTTGCATCATTATGAAGAATAAAAAATGTTTTTTTATTTAAATTTATTTATCGTGGCACGGACATCGAAGTCATTAGTGACTAAGCATGGAAATACATTTCACAATTACAGCAAAAAGTGTTGAGTGGGAGCCTAGAAGAAGCGTGGCCCCAAAGTGATTTACCTTGAAGAATGTTGTGTCCGCGGCCGGGGCCCGAGGGCCCTCTGCCGCAGC